AGAGATAAATTACTTGTAATTTTGAATAACTTGATCCCAAATAAACAAAGGCAGGATAGCCGAATTAGAAAAAAAAAGAATATCTATACAATTGCAATTACAATTGCAATCATATTAGCAGATTTGCAAAATTGAACCTTTTTTACTTGAATTATCAAATTTAGATTTATATATAAGTATTAACCAATTAAATTATATATTTATTATATATCAGATATATAAGTAATGTTTATTATATGAATTTATTTTATTTTTTAAAAATGTTAAACTATATCTATTCAAATTATAATAAATTCTATTATTTATAATCTTAAATCTTTATCTATAAATAACAAACTCAGACATATTACAAGAACAAAGTAAATTTATATTCACTATACCTAGATCTATTTACCAAACTTAAATGTCTAATAATACTTTTTAATTTCTAATAAAACAAAAACCAAAGCTATTATATTAAAGTCTATTGAGTTTAAATATTATAATTCAAAACTTGTTTTTTTATAAAAAATTAACTATATTGTAATTTTGTTCAAATAAAATAGTTATTACTAACTCTTTTATGATTACAAATTATATAGGTTTATTTTAACAAAGTTTTATTTTTACTATTATTATAAGCTAAGTCTACACTATTTTTTAATCAGACAAAATTTTTTTAATTAAAAAAGTTAAACCTAGAGGCAACAGTTTAACAAAGCTTTATAATAAGTTATTACATTACTTATTGAAAGTTATATATACATTACAAAATTAAACTAAGTATAACCTTATATTCGACAAATAGAAATATTAAATAAATATTCAAATTTAATATTATTTAAGTATTTAAAATTTTAAATATTTAATTAATATTAAATTTTATATTTAATAAATATTTAATTTTGTCTTCAATAAGAAGCAGCACGAGGTTATGTGCTGGCATAATTAAGGTGGATAGTATAGGAGAGAGTTTAAATAGGTAATTCAAATAATAGTGGGTTACAGGTATGGCATCTAATGTAGACCCTAGTAATAGGTAGCTACTTAATTAGATGCTCAAAAGATGCAGATATGGCTAGAATATATTCTCATTAACCATTAATATACTATCTAAAATATCTAATAAAAATCTATCTTCATGTGACATTGTAAAGATTAAAAAAAATATATATATATTATTTATATATTTTTAGTTTTCTAAAAGATTTCTATACAGCATGTATAATAAAATAAATATACAAAATATTTTTTTCTTTTACACCATTGTTGTTAACCATTATTTTGGATTTTTTTTTAATTTTTTGCTTAACAAATGAGATTTTGTCAGTATACTGTAGTGGTAATTAATTGCTTATAACTTTGACTGGTGAGATGTAATATAAAAGTTGTTGGATTAAAATGGATTAAATGAATATGTTGTAGAGCAAGATAAGAACTTCAAGTTTTTCTAATAATCTATCATATTTATAAAGGAGATAATCTACACAAGCTTCTGAAAAAAGTATTGTAAAATATATAAAAAATTTTTATCAATTGAAAATCTTGTGTAACATGAATGGTCCTACCTCAGGAATAAACGTGATAAATAACTAGGAAATGGGAACATCTAAAGTTGTGTCCAGTCACGTGTTTTTTGTTTTTAATTAAAGTTAGGATAAGGGTCAGTTTGAGGTTAGGGTCAGGGCATGTCTTATAATAAAATTGCCTTCCTGCATTTTTATTAATGCATCAAGATAGGTTTAGACTATCGTTTCTTGTATTTTTTGTGATTTTCACTTTTTTTTGCTGTTTTTTGTCTCTTCAAGCTGATCTGTGTCAATCAAAATAAACAATTCTATTGGCTTTAGGTCACGTGATTGACATGGCTTTAGATGATCACAGGAATGGAAGTTACATAAGATTATTGTATTGCATTTAACAGACGAAATTTTCAAAATTACGTTTTTGATGTAATGTTATGAATTGATAAATCAAGTACATACATACATTAAAAACACAACATTTAGTCATTAAAAAAGGCCTCTGCCACTTTAGAAAATATTATCTACCTAGTTATACAAGGATACTGAAGAGATAAATGTTCATTTTTTTCTAATTCTCTTAGTTTAGCTAAAGTGTGATTTGAATTACGAAAGTGATTAATAACTGATAGCATCATAGTGATTATAGCTTAGATTTTATAATCTTTTTTTACTAACAAGTTAGTTTGATGAGCTATACAAGGTATTGTAATAATTTTTCGTTGTAATTCAGAATCTTCATTAACTATTTTTCGTGCTTTTACCATATTAGAGCCACTATCTAATATGAATCTAATCTATTTATTACCTAAAGACATTCCAACTTCTTTGTATACATTAAACATAGCTATATCCATATGATGTTGATTTGAAAATTAGAAATTTTTCAAATTTGGCTTTGCCGTTTTTCATTTGTAATGATAAAATTAACTAAACTATGTTTAGTAATGTTGGTCCACCCATCTCCTGATAATGTTAAAAATTTAGAATCATCAACAAACTTTTGAACTTCAGATTCTACTTCATCATATACTTTATCCAAAATCTCAGTACTAATCCACCTTCGAGATGGTAATGTATATAAAGGTTGCACCATTTTAAATAATTTTCGAACTTCTTCATTTTCTATAAAAGAAAATAGAACATTTGCAGAAATAAGAGCTTGTAATAATTGACAATGAATTAAATTATTATTTTCTACTTTATATTTTGAAGTATTTGCACTGGATTGATGAATGTCATTATCTTTTTCACTTGAACTTGTATTAATCCAAATACTTTTATTTTTACTTTGTTTTAGTGAACTAGCATTTTGACGCTTCTTTGAATGACGAGCTATTTTAATATTACTTAAGGTATTCTGAACTTCTTCTCTAATTTTTTCACAAGTTTTATTTAAATGTCTTAACATTTGCTCAGGAATTTCATATAATAATTTGTGATAATAAACACATTTGGCTTCATAATGAGTTGAACTGAGTAAATTTTCTTATTCAAAATAACTCCAAATAGGACTTTGTTTTCTGCCACGTTTGGATTTTTTAGATTTTAAAGGATTTGATGTCATTTTTAATTTTAGATAGAATTATGATATATAAATTTAAAATTTTCTTTATTAGCGAACAGGTTACTTAAATACAACAAATAATAAAGTAATTAAGAGCATAAAAGCTAATTGTTTAATTAAATTAACATATTAAATTTAATTTATTTAAAGGTTTTTTTTCATTATATAAAAAACTTTTATTTTATTCTTCTCCGTTGATTTCTTTTATTTTATGCCCTATCACATTACTGTCTTTATCTTTTTGTGTATGTAGTAATATTGGCTAATAACCAGCTAGCGTGATTTAATGCTCAAAATTAGTTAGCCGATTTATTAGTAACACTGTATTTTTAATGAACTTTACAGTAATTATCATTATTGTTATTATGCTTACCTGGTAAGATGATAAAATTTATCAGTTCAAAAAATTTTAAACAGCCTGTTATCACTAGAGATAGTTGTTATGCTGGTAAAATAATAATATCTGAGAAATTAACTGCTCAGTAATGGCAAAGTTATCATTGTATAATTAATCATTTATTTATTTTGCATAATGTTCAATTAGAATATAACAATGGTTTTTTTATCCAACCAGATGTTCGATATCTATATATTATTATCCTTTAAAATATATGAAGCATGGCTTTTAATTTGTTATTGTAAAAAATATGCAAGATTTAATTTAATCGCTATTATATATCATTTCGATGAAGATGTTCTATACATCTTGGATATTTTAATTATTAATTCATTAAAAATTATTATTAATTTAATAAGGGAGCTGACAGTTATTACGTAAAATCAACCCCCCTCCAGCGACAATAACAGGTTCTAAAGTAATCATAGTGGAAACTTTATATGATTG